CATCTGTAGACAGATATATATATATATATATAATTCAGCATTTCACCTTTCACAACAAAACCTTACCAAAACATAAAATGACAAAATTTAACATCAAAGTATTATAAATAACGTCTGTAACCTTATATCAGTTCATATTAAACATTCAGTACTTGGTTGATCATCCTCATACTCTAATAATCTCCGCAGGGCGATGTGGAATGCTATCGATGAGGTTATTGATGTAATCTACCGTGGTCGAAATAATCCTGTATAATACGTGCACTGCAGGCAGTAGAATTGTTATCCTGGAAAACAAAGTTATTGCCAGACTCTGCCCTAGCATATGGCAGAAATATCATTTCCATGTGATGTCTGTAGGAGGCGCCATGGACGTTTCCCTGGAGGATATGAAGAACAGTTTTTCCACCGTGATAAACAGCTACCCAAACATGTACTGCACCATCCCCTGCGTGTTTCACTCAACTGGGCAAACGACGAAAACGAATCCTACCATGAGCTTTAACAAGCCTGAAACAGGACTCATCTGAAAAGATGACATGTTGACAGTGTTCTAACTGCAAGTTGGCATGCTGTCTTGCCCAAGAAACACGGTAACGGCGGTGAATTTTGGTTAATATCGGTTTGCATATAGCTCTTTTTGAAAAATAACCTTGTTTGGAGTCAATCTCTTAGTCACTGTTCTTCTGTATACCCTGGAATGAATGTGTTTTTGCCATTAGTGTCATAAGGTGTTGCAAGACTACTTTCGACCTTGACGTGTTAACCTATCAAAACAAGGTCATGTCGGGAAGTAGTTTTTCGGCGTCTACCAGTAGACTTTCCTGGAACAACGTTTCCTGTAGTCCGATGATGTTTCAGGATGACAGTTTGCTTCATAACATTTCTGGATAGTCTAACAATTTGACGCCCTATAACTTCTGGCACGTAACAAAGCATGACTCTACACCAAGTACAGAAAAACTGCCTCAACAAAACGTTGATCTATTTTGAAAAAGATTACACCAAAAGCACACCCTTTTATACAAAACAAGTGTGTGTGTGTGTTTTGACGAACAAACGCTCAAAACAACTTAAACAGACCAGAGTAACAACTCGTACATGTTTGTCCGATCATACGCTACCTTCTATGTTACTACTCGGGCATTAATTCAATAACTACTCCATGCATGTAGACAATAGCATCAATATAGAACAATATGCAGACATTTTGGTCAAGACTGTATTATAAGGAATTTAAACTCTAATGCATAATGTTATTCTAAACGATTTCTGCCTCCCTGGAATAAAAAACGGTATTTGATTATATTTGTATTAGATTAGTATTTTCTTAGTTTTATGTCTTTTTGATCTGTATTTATAATTCTTTTATGTTCTTTTTCTCAGAATGTTGAAAGAGATAAAGTAACTAAAGTCACGTTACAATGTGTTAAAGAAGCACAGTAGCAGGTAGGTTGAGTTAATAGCTGAGGAACTTGTTAAATATAAACCACTGATAAATAAATAAATAAGTGTAAAATAAGATTTTATAGAGAAGAAAGATATTAAGAATTAGGACAGTTTTTTAAGTTGTTTGTGGTTACTTCGTTTAATACCAAAATATAACCATGTTTGTAATTAAAAATATACAACATTTCTTTGCTACCATGTGGTGTTGTTGAATAGAACAGGTTTCGAACGACTTTACGTAATATATAAAGTAATGTAGGTTCAGTTTCGCTTATTTTGACACTATCTAACCTTTTATCTATAGTTATATAATTTGGATATGACTGACTGGGCTAGCCTTGCATTCATAGCATACAAATTTAACTATACAAAATAAACATTAAAAATTTCATTTGTTTTAATTTTGACCAACAAAATCTTCTCAATGAAATCAAAATGATTTTTTTTTTTTCAGAAACGCTCAAATAACACCCTTTTTTGAAGACGTCAAAATGACACCAGTTATTACCACTACTGTATGGTTACATAAATACATTTGAAAACGACTCTTGTGTTTCAGCCGAAATATAAATAAACTGTGTCCATTTAGAATAACATTACCTGATGTTTTTTGTTTGTTTCTTTTTCATTTTGACCATCCTAGGCATATAAGTATGTTAATTCAATGTAATCTCTCCGCAGGTTTACTTAAGTGAAAAATTCTGAAAAAATAAGATATTGATAAAATAAACCATACGTAGAATGGCTATTAAATGCCTTACTTTTAACATTCATATTTACATAATTCTCGGTTTTAACTACTCTGTTATAATAATAAATCTATAATTTTCGCAAGCGCTGAGAAAGAGAAAATTTATTGATGGAATTACAGAGTTGAAAAAGGCCAGTTTAGTTTTCTTTTTGTGCCCTAGGTAGCAGCACTATATGGTTATAAATTTCGATTTCAACCGTAAGGATTGCGATTAAAAATAATTTCCTTCCTTGTGAGAAAATTTAAAGAATAACAAAAGTTGATTGATTTTAACAACTATACGGAGTTATGATATTTTTAAATTTGATACACCTACATCGTATGATTATATAATATCATCTATAATACCCTTATATAATATCATCTATCAATTACTGTTGAATGTTTTGCGGCAAAGAGACTTTATAGTGTTACGAAATAAATAAATATTTTAACCATACAAAACTTAGTATGTGGATAAAATACATAAAAACGTATATACTTTCATGTGTTACAACGAGGAGAGACAAATGAAGAAAGTGAGTAAATTAATTAAGGATTCGTCAAGTTTTAGAAAGTCTACTTGGCACAGTAGATTTTTCAAAGTAATTTCACTTTATAAAAACGTTATAAATGTGTCACTTCATTGCTCATTACATTTAAAAATACTCCAATAAACGTACGAGATGCTTTACTTGAGAACAAGAACGCCAAACAAATAAATTAAGCACACATTTTCTAACTTTTATAAATATATCATATTTCATTATGTTTTAATTTGTTTGTAATTAAGCACAAAGCTACATAATGGGTTATCTGTTTCAATCGCATGAAGTTAGGTCAACAAGAAAATTTAACCAATAGTATTATTTTATCGGTGAAGAAGAGGAAATAGAATTAAAAATATTTAATTTCTAAATAAACATTTTATTTATAAATTTGTTTATTGAAAGACAGTTTTATCGAAAAAGTTTCTCAAAAAGAGAGAATTTTAGTCCAAATGTAGTCGCAACAAAAAAATGGAGTTGTGTTATTAAATAAAGCAAACTAATTTTTAAAAAATGAACGATATTTTAATTGACGCTACAAAATTCAAACCTCATACTTCTGATATAGTCTCCCTCATCTTTCAAAGGGGGAAAAAAAAAATCTTTTTTAGAGAATTAAGAACCAAAAACATTATGACTGGTGATATGTTCAAACAATATTTTATCAATTATAATTTATGGCCTCCTTATTGGTCCATAAAGAAAATAATTCATTAAACCCTATCTTTTCAACAATCACAATACACAGTTACAAAGTAGCCAAAGTCCTTGCACCTATTTCCCAAACTATTAACATTTAATGAATTTACCGGCCTGGACTCGTTCTCATTTGTTAAAGTGTTAAATATATACATCCTTCTAATGAATGTTTTATGAGTAGTTTTGATGTAGCTTCTTTATCCACAAACATTCCATCGAAAGAGACCATCTTCATTTTATGATTTGATTAAAGAACAACTTATATCCTTAGTTACCCACCCTGTAAAAAAATAATCATTATATATATTTAATGGAAAATTACATTACCAACTTGATGGAGTGACTGTCGGTCCCCACTAGGACTAACCCTTTCTAACCGCCATGAACAATCTTGGTTGAACAGCTACCTAGAGAACTTCAAACCAATGTTTTACAAACGCTACGTTGATGACACTGTCATAATTTGTCGATTAAAACATGTAATTGAACAATTTCTTAAGTATTTGCACCATTCGTCTATAAAGTTCACATGTGAAATTGAATAACAGAATAGTTTACCTTTTCTGGATGCCTTAATTACTCGAGATGCTCAAAATTTTCAAGGTCAGTTTTCAAAACAAAAAAAAAAGTTTTCATAGGACAGTTCACCCAACTTGATAGCTTATTCCTTTATAGCAGTGGTTCCCAATCTCCTTTAGTTTGAGGCTCCCTTGATGTGCATAAAAATGTTTGAGGCCTCCCAACCTATAAAAATGCCTTAAAATGCGATTTAAAAATGTCCCCCCCCAACTACTTTAGCATGGTGATTGAAAAACAGTGCCGTAGTAAAAACCATAACATCTCCTTTCGACATACTGTATCATTTAATTAATTCAACATAATTTTTATCAGCTTATTGTTTATTCATAGTTAAAATTAATTTAGCATCTTTGTTTTTGGCCCATTTGTGGCGTCCCCCCAGAAAATGCTTCATGGCCCTCTTTAGATTAACAAGTCTATTAACTCGAGCCTTTAAGATTTGTTCAACTTATCTAATCTTCATTCTGAAATTATTTTTTTCCATGATATACTATTTTATAATGGATAACATAAGAAAAGAATTGAAAGCTTAACCAGGATATATCTGAGCAAAATAGTTAAAACTCCTTTAAAATCGTTCCAAGTTGATAAACGTCCAGTTTCATTGACCATCCCCTACCTGGGACATCAAAGTATCATTTTTCTAATAAGAAAGTTCTACCAACAGGTCCTTCAAAAAATTTAAACTGATCTTTAGATGAAAATTCCTCTTCAGAACAAAAGATTATCTTACCTAATTGTCTTCACTCATGGATTTTCTATAGATAAACACGTGGTGACTGCAAGGCCATCTATATCAGAAAAGCTAAACGTCATTTTTCTGTCCGTATCAACAATAACATGAGAGTATTACTTAGGTTAGGTAACATCCTTTTAAGTCTACATAGTGTAAGTAAAAATCGCAAATTGGTTTATTTCCTTGTTTAACGTTTTAAAAATGACGTTCAGACCTTTCTAAAATAATAGGACTAACTCACTTTAACAAAGTAACTCAATAAGCACGATAGTGAACACAAATGCAAATACTTCATGAAAACGCACTGACTAAGTTAACCCTCTATCTTGAAATCTCTATCTATTTTGAAAATAAACTCTACACATTTCGTCATATTCTTACAAAAAAAATATATATCTTCTAGTCCTATCCTATTAGTTAAACCTTTTGAACTTAATGTCATCACTAAGACTCACAGTTCCCTCTAGTTAACTTTTAAGTTACAACATGAAAACATAACTTATGATACTGTCCTCTTCCTAAATTGTGAAGTCCTATGAATTATCCTATTACAAAAATTAAAGCAGTTCACTAAATTGTTTATTTGTCAAGTATTTTTATGGTTTTCTCTTCTAAGGTCCATGGTATACAAATGAAATGGGGTCTTGTCTCTTTGTCATTGGCTGCCCTGTTGCTGGAGGAGTTTTTTCTGGGTAGGTGGTTGGGTGAATCCACTGACGGCTCCAACCTTGATGATCCTCTGGAAGTAGTCTAAAAAAAATCTCTAGGTTCCTCAAAAGTTGAGTGTCTACTGACAAGATCATCTGTGGAATCCGTTGGTCATCATCTCACAGAGATACTTTCAAAGATGATTATGGTGGATGACCTTTGCCTTGTATCAATTATCCTTATGGATTTTTGTACATCATTGATTCTTTTTAGTACGACACATGGCCCCACTAAAGCCTCCTGAAACTCGGAGTTCATCCTTTCTTATAGCATGGATTGTACAATTATTTTATTTCATATTGATGGAATCCAGTCTTATTGGCATTAACATCATAGTGACTCTTCATTTTCTCACTAGCTGATTTAAGTCTTTCCCAAGTAAAGTCACGTATGCAATCGATGATGTTCACCAATCTCTCTACATATCCTGTGCAAAACTCTTCTAAGTGGCTCTTCTCTTTATCACACCATCAGAAGATGGATGAAGGCCGTTGTCCTTGCCTTTTTATTCTCAAGGATCTGACATTTCTATCCCATTTCCAAGTGAAGTTCCATGGGCACAATTCGTTAATGAGTTTATATGAAAGAGTTTTTGCTTCTTGGTTAGGAGTAGCATATGCTTTTGGCCATTTGGTGAAGTAATCCTTTAAATCCTTAATGTATATATTCCAACTGTGTGATTTTTTATGAAAACAGAAATCAGATTGAGATTAACTCTCTCAAGTGGTGTTCCAAATCAATACTGCTGTAGTTTCCCATGATGTTTCTTTCATGGACCTTCCCACTCATAGCAGAGATCATATGTTTTACACCAATTCTCCACAGACTTCTGGCATCCAACCCAGTAGAAGCGTTTTATTATTCGCTTCAGTGTCTTCTTAACAGCCAAGTGCTCAGGTGTTGAAAGGTTGAAAAGATAACAGAGTACTTCAGGATGTAAAGACTAGCAAAATACCAACTGTAGTTTGTGTCCACAGGTATCTTCCGATTTCTGATATAATAAGCCCTCTTGTAAACATAAGGAATCCCATAATGCCCAATGCATTTTTGTTTTGGGGTTGTGTAAAGCGATTGTTTGCAATAAAGTTTATTCTGAACTATTTTTCAGTCACTGAATAATTTGTTTTAAACTTGTATTCTTTGTCTAAGAAGCTTCCAGTTGGGTATTGGACCACATCAGATCTTCATCTTCACTAGTGGGTGTCATATCTTGAAATACACTTTGTTGTACTTTAAGTTATCTTTTCTATCCTGTGTTTCCCTCTTCTCACAGTTTACACTCTTCACTTACATGATCTTTGGGATTATACATTGGCATTTCCATAGTTCCATTTAGAGCAATGTACAATGGAAAAGTTGTACGCATTCTTGATTTTTTGAAGCAATTTTGCTTGCTATTTGGCCTTCTGGATTATGGAAATATTTCAGTAACTTCAATGTTGCTTGATCTGAACAAATAATACAATTTTGTCCATATAGATAATGATGGAAGTGACTCAGAGCTCAAACAACACTTAGTAGCTCCTTTTAATTTATACAAACCCCCTTTTTTGTGGCATTTATTTCCATGTTATAATAGGCAATCACATGTTCTTTTCC